AAAAAAAAAAAAAAAAAAAAAGAAAATAAAAATAAATAAGAAAACCAAAGAGTCAAAATGCAGTTTGTGATTCTTTTGCTATAAATAATATTTCTAGGAAAACAGCTATGAGTTTCCAAGATCAGACAGTAATAATGCAACACTGTTAATTTCCTTATTTTGATGGCACACTATATTTTTCCAGGAGAATAGCCTTCTTTATGGGAAATTCTGAAGTATTCAGGGGTAAGAGCATATTATATTGCTAAGTTACTCTCAACGGTTTATGGAAGGACTCTCTGTACTACTGCTGCAATCTGTAAGTAAGTTTTAATTCTTTTAAAATTAAAAAGAAAAATAAGGTTTTAAAAAATGAACTTCAAAAGCACTAAAAAAACTGTACATTAATACAGAGATTTTTTGCACAGCATCAAAGGCAGAAACAATAAAGAGAATTTGGGTAAATTACCTAAAAAATGTAAACTTCTACATTAGAAAAAATTAACCTGCTAGAATTTTTTTTTTTTTTAAGACGGAGTTTCACTCATATTACCCAGGCTGGAGTGCAATGGCGCGATCTCGGCTCAACGCAACCTCCGCCTCCTGGGTTCAGGCAATTCTCCTGCCTCAGCCTCCTGAGTAGCTGGGATTACAGGCACGCACCACCATGCCCAGCTGATTTTTTGTAGTTTTAGTAGAGACGGGGTTTCACCATATTGACCAGGATGGTCTCGATCTCTTGACCTCGTGATCCACCCACCTCAGCCTCCCAAAGTGCTGGGATTATAGGCTTAAGCCACCGCGCCCGGCCCCTGCTAGAATTTTTTAAAACAAACGTTAAATTATGGGTAATAACACACACAGCAAATATATAAGACAACAGAGTATTACCTCTAATATAAAATACTTTGTAAAAAAAATTATAATATTAAAATAAACAGATATTCAAGGTCAATTAATAAACATGAATAATTTTTCTTAAAAAAGATTTAAAATAACTAACCTTGGCCAGGCACGGTGGCTCATGCCTGTAATCCCAGCACTTTGGGAGGCAGAGGTGGGCAGAGTCAAGGTCAGGAGTTCGAGACCAGCCTGGCCAAAATAGCAAAACCCTGTCTCCACTAAAAATACAAAAATTAGCTGGGTATGGTGGCACATGTCTGTAGTCACCACTATTCCAGAGGCTGAGGCAGAAGAATTGCTTGAACCCAGGAGGCGGAGGATGTAGTGAGCCCAGATCTCACCACTGCACTCCAGCCTGGGCAACAGAGCAAGACTCCATCTCAAAAAAAAAAAAAAAAAAAAAAGAAGGAGGAGGAGGAAGGAAAGAGGGAGGAAGGAGGAAGGAGGAAGAAGGAAAAGGGGAAGGGGAAGGGGAAGGAGAGGGAGGAAGAGAGGGAGGGGGAGGGAGGAGGAGGAGGAGGAAGAAGAAAGAAGAAAGAAGAAGAAAGAAGAAGAAGAAACAACTAATCTTACTTACCAGTACTCAAACAAACTCATCCAAACATTTTAACTTTTTTTTTTACTAGAAAGAATAGCAAAGATTTTTTTAAGGGTAACACAGTGTACCTAACATAATAAAAGGCTATCAGCAATTTCACATATAGCTAATACAGGGTAAGTTCTAGAGGACAATTTCACACAATGTTTTTACTGAAGCTTCCAAATGTTCACACACTTTTACACAGATGCTATCAGTGTATACTAAATGCCAGACACCAGACTAGGCCCTTCAACCACAAAGGGTTGCTTAATTAAATTCGCAGTTTGTTGAATCTCATGGTAGTCTGTATTACAGACTAAGTATCTATTAAAAATACAGCAGAAACACAATTTATTGACACACAAAAGATGCTGGGTTAAGAAGTTTCAAAAGCAAACAAAAAATATAAACAACATGATTCAACCTTTTTGTAAGTACATACTATAAGCCAAAATACACAGCAACAACCTACATGAAAAAATATAAACAACATGATTCAACCTTTTTGTAAGTACATACTACAAGCCAAAATACACAGCAACAACCTACATGAACCTGAATAAGATTTTGAATGATTTTTGTCTTATATTTATTTACTTGTCTCTATTTTCAAGTTTTTAAAATAAATATTAATTACATAATAAAAAGGTTTTTTTTGCAGAAAAACATTGAAAATCTCAAAACTGGCTGCAATTTCTTCCACAGATGGAACATGTAAGTTCAATTAAATAGTAAAACTATATTTAAAGAAACACTGGGTAATGGTGAAACCTAAAATGCAGAGGAGAATAAAATAATAATATACATATACTAAAAGAAGAAAAATATACAGGAAAAAAATAAAATCTTAAATTTTTTTTACAGGCGCGGTGGCCTATGCCTGTAATCCCAGCACTTTGGGAGGCCAAGATAGGCAGATCACCTGCTACCAGTCTGACCAACATGGAGAAATCCCATCTCTACTAAAAATACAAAATTAGCCAGGCGTGGTGGCGCATGCCTGTAATCCCAGCTACTCAGGAGAGGCTGAGGCAGGAGAGCCACTCGAACCTGGGAGGCAGAGGTTGCAGTGAGCCAAGATCACACCATTGCACTCCAGCCTGGGTAACAAGGGTGAAACTCCATCTCAAATAAATAAATAAATAAATAAAGCCAACAATAAAAACCATATCTTGGGGTACAAATAACTTTACAGGGGAAGACAAGTAACATTCTGATATAGGACTATTTTTCAAAAAAGAATCTATGATACATTTTAATGAATATTATGCAAAATAATAATTCAAATTTAACAGACTCTTGATACTTGAAAAAGCAAAAGAGGTCAGTAATTCATAAAAGACCAATCTGTAAGGATTAAATAATCTGTAAATAGAATACTAAATACCTAGGTTACTATGAAAGGTAACATAATTTTGCTTGCTTTGTACTCCTGTGACCTTAGTAACATACAGTTTAATAACTGTAGCATGGTATGGTAATTTTTTTTTCCAAATCTCCCTTAATTTTATGGAGACCTATAATCTTAAAAACACAAAACTTCCTACTCCCAGTTTTAAAAACCAAAAAGTAATAGCCAAACAGTAATAAAATAATATCCACTGTACCTTATTATAACGATCATGCGGAACAGACTGTAAAACAATTGGTTCCATTGTGGAAACATTGGCAAATTGTACCTCTGGAATATAGAGGGCACAAACCACATGGGCCCAACCTAAAAATAAGTAAATAAATATCATCTTTTCAGTTTTATCAAAAGCAAATTAACACCATTAACTTCCTTAACAGATCCCTTAAATGCCTATTGAAACAAATGCACAACAAAGACATTAACAGATTCTCATTGCTGTCTTACTTCCATTGCTTGAAAATACTCAAACCACTACTAAAAAAAAAAGAATTCTTAATCATTTTCCCACTTATAATATACAGTAAATAAAGGGAAACATTTATAAATTCAGATGCTAGCACTAACACTTCTTATACAGGCAGACTAAATATTCAGATCAACATTACTTCTGAAAACCACTATAAAAAGTTTTTTTAAAAGTTTAACACTTACAATAAAATTAGTAATTTAATCTTAATAACTTTAAATGTCAACATTAAATTATCATATTTTATCTTAATGTCAACATTTTTAATATTAGTAATAATCATTTTACTATTTTAATTTGAAAAGTTTTAAATTTGATATTAAATATTAACATTTATTTAAATTTTTAAAATGAGACTGAAAATATTAAAATGCTAATGTGATAGTGAAGAGTTTCTGGGCTCAAAATGGAAAAGAAAGGAAGTCCAAGGTTTTGGCCACTTTTGCCCAGGGAACATTTGCCTACTTCAGAGAAAGCAGCAGTGAGGATAAAGGGTGCTTTTGACAAACTCAGGGACCTAACAGTACAGGGATGTACATCCACAAACACCCGAGCGACAAAGGGAACAAGTAAACCCCTCTCCTCCTTTCAGATGCAACAATGAAGCGCAAACCAGAGGTAGGAATATACTAAAAGTACATAGACCATGAAGAGACTGCAGCAGGGCTCTGGCCATCTTAAACTCTTGAAATTTGATGAAGGTAATCCTAAATTACAAGTCCCAAGACACCAAGGAGATGCAAATACACATCCTCTCTAAAAGAAAATAGTATCATCTTGGCTACAAATAATTTCTACCTTTTTTTTTTTTTTTTTTTTTTTTGAGACAAATCCTTGCTCTGTTGCCCAGGCTAGAGTGCACTGGCGTGATCTTGGCTCACTGCAACTTCCTCCTCTCAGTTCAAGCAACCTGCCTCAGCCTCCCAAGAAGCAGGGATTACAGGTGCCCACCACCACACCTGGCTAATTTTTGTATTTTTAGTAGAGACAGGTTTCACTATGTTGGCCAGGCTGGTCTGAACTCCCAAACGCATGTGATCTGCCAGCTTCAGCCTCCCAAAGTCGTGGGAATACAGGTATGGACCACTACACCCAGCCTAAAATTTCTTAATTACATATAATTTTCAGCACAATAACAAGTACCAAACACATGATAGACAAGATAATATAACTGAAAATAAGCAGAAACAAGAAAATCAAAATAGATCAGTATTCTGGAGTTACCAGATAAAGATTTTAAAATAAGTATGCTTAATATGATTAAGTACACACAAGACAAAATTCTAAATTGACGCAAAGAACTGAAAACTATAATAATAAAATTCCAGAAGCAAAGCAGAAATTTAGAAGTCAGCCAGGCGCGGTGGCTCGCACCTGTAAGCCCAGTACTTTGGAAGGCTGAGGCGTACTGCTTAAGCCCAAGAGTTCAAGACCAGCCTAGGCAGACTGCGTAAGCCCAAGAGTTCAAGACCAGCCTAGGCAACAAACTGAGATCCCATCTCTACAAAAAAAATAATGAGCCAGGTACAGTGGCATGCACCTATACTCCCAGCTACTCAGGAGGTTGAGGTAGGAGGACTGCTTGAGCCCAGGACTTGGAGGCTGCAGTGAACTATAATTGTGCCACTGCAATCCAGCCTGGATGTGAGAGATCGTATCTCATGAAGAAAGAAAGAAAAAAAAAAAAAGAAAATCAATGCGTGGGATTAACAACTGTTTAGACATGGATGAAAGAATTAGCAGGAACAAAACAGGTCAGAAGAAGAAATCCATAATGTCAGCATAAGACACAAAAGAAAGAAATACAAAAAAAGGGATAAGACATGAAAAATGTAATAGGCAGGCAGGTCTAACACACATGTAATCAGAGTCTCAGAGAAATATGCGAGAAAAAATGGCATGAAAGCAATATCTGAATTGATAACACGTAAAAGTTTTCTGGAAGAGAAAATTCAAAGCCACTGACTGAGGAATCACTATAAATCAGAGTAAATAAAGATATACACCAAGGCACATTAGTAAAACTACAGAAAACTAAGGGAAAAAAAAGAAAATCTTAAAAACAAAAGACAAGTTATCAAACAAAAAACTAGATAAAGCCAGAAAACATTTTTTAAAAGATTTCCATTAAAGGTAACACCAAACAATTTTCCTTTAGTAACAGGAAAAGTGATTCCAGAAGAAAGTTTGGAACTGAAGAAAAATATAAAGAGTGATAAACATGTAGCTACATTTAATAGACAACGAACATACAAAACAATAATGCCTTCACTCATTTACAGTACAGATGACTACTTACATTAAAAATTAAAACACTGGTAGGGTTTGTGATGTATGTAGCTTTCCTATAAAACTATAACAAAGACCAGGCATGGTAGCTCATGCCTGTAATCCCAGCACTTTGGGAGGCCAAGGCAGGTAGATCACAAGGTCAAGACATCAAGACCATCCTGGCCAACATAGTGAAACTCTGCCTCTACTAAAAATACAAAAATTAGCTGGGTGGGGTGGCATGTGCCTATAGTCCCAGCTACTCAGGAGGCTGAGGCAAGAGAATCACCTGAACCCAGGAGGCGGAGGCTACAATGAGCCAAGACCGCACCACTGCACTCCAGTCTGGCGACAGAGCAAGACTGTCTCAAAAGAAAAAAAGAGATTGGAAGAGGAACAGGTAAAAGATGTCTATAAGATGTCTACGTGGTTTCATTCTACATTTCATGTTAAGTGGTACACAGAGGCCAGGTGCGGTGGTTTACACCTATAATCCCAGCACTTGGGATGGCCAAGGCATGTAAATCACTTGAGGTCAGGAGTTTCAGACCAGCCTGGCCAATACAGCAAAACCACATCTCTACTAAAAATATAAAAATTAGCCAAGTGTCAGGTGGTGTGTGCCTATAGTCCCAGCTACTCAGGAGGCTGAGGCAGAAGGACTGCTTGAATCCAGGAGGCGGAGTTTCCCTGAGCTGAGATAGTGCCACTGCAGTCCAGCCTGGGTAACGGAGCGAGACTCTTATCTTAAAAGCGGGGGAAAAAAAAAAAAGTGGTACACATGGTAGAATGAATTTACTGGTATGAAAATCATAATCCTAACAGAAACCACTAGATAGATAAATATAAATACTTGTGTATATATAGGAAGAGATATGGCCAAAAAGGCAATTTAAGGCAATTTAGTATAATTAAATTTAAATGCGATACTAATTAGCTGCATTTTTAAACTCAGTATAATACAGCACTAAAAAATAATCACAAAAAGAACAGACGATAAATAAGGGGGAAAAACCAGTATTAAGAACAAATAGCAGAAGACCTCTACTTCTGTCCAAGATAGACCAAGATAGTCAAGAGAAAGTCACAAGGGAAACTGGAAAATGTCTTGAACAGAATGGCAACAAATATGAAATGTATCAGAACTTGTTAGACATACTCTGGGGGCAGTGGCTCATGCCTGTTATCCAAGCACTCACTGAGCCAAGGCCTGCGGATCACTTGAGCTCAGGAGTTTGAGACCAGCCTGGGCAATACGGTGAAATAAGGTGGCATGCACCTGTATTTCCAGCTACTTGAGAGGCTGAGACAGGAGGATCGCTTGAACCCAGAAGGTCAAGGCTTCAATGAGCCAAGATCACACCACTGACCTCCAGCCTAGGTGACAAACTGAGACCCTGTCTCAAAACAACAACAACAAAACACACACACACACACACACACACACACACACACACACACACACACACACACACACACAGCTTGTGGGATTCAATAAAAGCAACAGAGAGGAACTTATACTATCTACATTTTCATTAGAAAGGAGTATCTAAAATAAATGACCTAAGATTCCACCTTTGTAAGTTAGAAAAGAAGAGGAAAACATAACACATACTAAGTAGTAGGAAGGAAATAATAAAGAGCAGAAGTGTAAAAAATACAAAACAGGGAAACGGCATAAAAAATTAACAAAGCCCAAAATTTTCTTTAAAAAGGTCAACAAAAAGGCCGGGCGCGGTGGCTCAAGCCTGTAATCCCAGCACTTTGGGAGGCCGAGGCCGGTGGATCACGAGGTCAAGAGATCCAGACCATCCTGGTCAACATGGTGAAACCCCGTCTCTACTAAAAATACAAAAAATTAGCTGGGCATGGTGGTGCGTGCCTGTAATCCCAGCTACTCAGGAGGCTGAGGCAGGAGAATTGCCTGAACCCAGGAGGCGGAGGTTGCGGTGAGCCGAGATCGCGCCATCGCACTCCAGCCTGGGTAACATGAGTGAAACTCCGTCTCAAAAAAAAAAAAAAAAAAAAAAAAAGGTCAACAAAACTGAACAATCCTTTTTGGACTGGTCAAAAAAAAACAAAAATAAAAGCAAAGGAAAAACCAGAACACAAATCACCAACATCAAGAATAACAATGGAGTAATTACTACCAATGCTAGCAAAATTAACAAAACAATAATAAAATACTATTGGCAGCCAGGTGTGGTGGGGCCCACACATGTAATCCTAGCACTTTGGGAGGCCAAGACAGGTGCATCAAATGAGGTCAGGAGTTCAAGGCCAGTCTGGCCAACATGAGGAGATCCTGTCTCTACTAAAAATACAAAAATTAGCTGGGCATGGTGGTGCCCACCTTAATCCCAGCTACTTGGGAAGCTGAGTCAGAGAATCACTTGAACCTGGGAGGCGGAGTCTGCAGTGAGCCAAGATCATGCCACTGTACTCCAGCTTGGTTGACAGAGCGAGATACCATCTCCCAAAAAAAAAAAAAAAATACTATTGGCAATGTTAGTCTAACAATTTCAGCAACTTATACAAAGTAGTCAAATTTCTTGAAAAAATAGAGCACACCAAAATTGACTTAGGTATATAAAAATAGGCCAGGCCCAAGGGCTAATGCCTGTAATCCCAGCACCTTTAGAGGATGAGGCAGGAGGATGGCTTGAGTCCAGATGTTCGATACCAGCCTCAGCAACAAAGTGAGACCACTTGTCTCTACGAAAAATACAAAAAAAATAAAATTAGCCAGGCCATTTTGTGTTCCCAGCCATTCAGGAGGCTGAGGCAGGAGGATCACTTGAACCCAGGAGTTTGAAGCTGCAGTGAGCTATGACTGCACCACTGCACTAGCCCAGGTAACAAAGTGAGACTCTGTCTCAAAAAAAAAAAAAAAAAGAAGTGTCCCTATAATTTTGCCAAAAACAAATTTATCAAAAATTTTCCCAGAAGTTTCAGTTTCTCATGAAGTTTCACTGGTAAATTCTACATAGAAGTCAAAGAAAAATAACACCAAATTTGCACAAACTGTTTGATTTTAAGTGACCAGCATAACCCTCAATAAACACCTGACGAAACCAGTATAATTTTTAAAGAAATAGAAAATGAAAGTAAACAGCAAATATAAAATATATGTCTGGAGTTAGCCAAGTGAATTTACAGTATCCTAAGAGTTTCAGAGGATTCAGAAAGAGGAAAAAAGCACATAGTAACATTAACTTTTTAAATTAATAGAATAGAATGGAATGAGTGAAACAAACCAGAATAGGAAAGACAAATACAAAACATTTAATAAGATGGAAGGTTTACATCAGGTGTAATGGCTCATGCCTGTAATCCCAACACTCTCCAAAGCTGAGGCAGGAAGACCACTGGAGCCTTGAGTACAAAGCTACAGTGAGCGAGGATCCTGCCACTGCACTCCAGCCTGAGCAACAAAATGAAAACCTGTCGCTTTAGGGAAAAAAAAAAAAACACACACACACACACTTTGAAATAGTGACGGCCTTTGTAACTAATGTATCAAAATACAGAAGTCATGAAAGATTAATGTATTCAACAAAATAAAAATCAAAAACTCATGCATGGTTAAAAAAAAAAAGTTTTTTTAAAGCACAATATAAATAAACACTAGATGGGCAAAAATTAGTCCAACTCATATCAAAACAGCATAATAATATATGAGGGGCTCCTTATGAACGCTCCAATAAGTCAAACTAAAAAGATCAACAACCACAGCTGGGCATAGTGGCTCATGCCTGTAATCCCACCACTTTGGGAGGCCAAGGTGGGTGGATCCCATCTCTACCAAAAATTTAAAAAATCAGCTGGGCATGGTGGCATGCGCCTGTAATCCCAGCTATTCGGATGGGTGAGGCAAGAGAGTCGCTTGAACAAGGGAGGCAGAGGCTGCAGTGGGCCAAGATTAAGCCACTGTACTCTAGCCTACATGACAGAGGGAGGCCCTATCTCAAAAAAACAAAAAAGATTAACAACTAAATCAAAATGCAGACCACAGAAGAGAAAAAAACAAAATGCTCTTCAAACTATAAAAATATGTCTACTTCACTAATGTTAAGAGAAATGCAAAACTACTGCTTGGATATACAAACTTTCACCTGTTAGACTGCCGAAGATATGAAAAACAGCTTTTTTATTCATATATTGGTAAAACTGGGAACATATATTGGTAAAACTGCAGTTCTGCCCTGTGAGGAGAATGATTTGGCACTATCTATCAAAATTAATTGCAAAACTCCTTTGACCCAATGTTTCCACATCTGGAAATTAATAATCCTACAGATATACTTGTATACAAGCAAAATGACATATATACAAGAGCTAGTCATCAAAGTAGAAGATAAGGAAGTGCATCAACAACTGACTGATAGATAACATGGTTAAAAAGAAGAAAAAAGGTTGTATACTGGTAACAAGATAAATTGTTCAGGCCGGGCATGGTGGCTCACGTCTGTAATCTCAACACTTTGGGAGGCTGAGACAGGTTCATTTGAGGTCAGGAGTTCAAGACCAGCCTGACCAATATAGTGAAACCCCATCTCTACTAAAAATTAACCAGGTGTGGTGGCGCATACGTGTAATCCCAGCGACTTGGGAGGCTGAGGCAGGAGAATCGCTTGAGCCCAGAACACGAAGGTTGCAGTGAACTGAGATCACACCACTGCACTCCAGCCTGGATGAATGAGCGACGCTCCATCTCAAAAAAAAAAGGGGGAAATAAAAGAAGAACAGATAAATTGTTCAGCGAAATAAATTAAGATGCAAAGTGCAGAAGAGTATACAATATTAACCCTTTTGTATAAAGATGGAGGAAGTAAGTATTTGTCTATTTACATTTGAATATGCAAAAGAAACCTAAAAAGATATTCAAGAAAGTAATAATTACATGGTAGCAGGAAAGCTGTTGAGGAACTGGGTAGATGGGGAAGAGGAGTAACAGGAAGAGTTTCCAATATATTTTAAAATTTTGTACAATGTGACTGTATAATATAGTCTGAACATTAAACCGCAAAATATATATAGCTAGCCAAAATAATTGTATTTTTCCTTTTTATTTACTCACACCGTTATGCTAAAACTACTTCAGAGGTGGCTATCCAAAATGGAGAACGGCACAGTAACTAAACCTCTACTTTTTTTAGTTGCCTTATCAAATATGCCATGGTCTAATAAATTAATATCTACATATTTCAGAATAGTACTGAGCTATTGAGAAATATGATTTCTCTGACAATAACTAAAAATGGGGAAGAAAATGGGCAATATACAAGTGTCCATAGAAAAGCATACCAAAGTGTGATACAAACATCAGTATTTTTTTTTTTCTGAGACAGAGGCTCACTCTCATCCATCCCAGGGCTGAAGTACAGTGGTGAGATCATGGCTCACTGCAGCCTCGACCTCCTAGGCTCAATCCATCCTCCTGCTCAGCTTACCAAGTACCTGCCACTACAGGCACACACCACCATGTCTGACTAAGTTTTTTAAATTTATTTACTTTCATAGAGACAAAGTCTCCCTCTGTTGCCCAGGCTGGTCTCAGACTCCTATGTTCCAGTGATCCACCTACCTTGGCCTCTCAAAGAGATGGATTACAGGTGTCAGGCAGCATACTGAGGCTAAAGGTGAACATTTCTCTATATTCAAGCAACAAAGATTCTCAGAGTTACATAAAATTAACACTCACTAGAAACATCATCTGTCTAGAGATATATAAAACAGAAAAAAAGAATCTAAAACAACAGATTTTACATCTAACAACAAAAAAGAAATGTGGTTTATTTTTTAAAAATAATTCCTAATGCAAGAAATTATATCCATTAAAAAAAAAAAAAAACTTTTTTTTTTTTTTTTTTGAAGACAGGGTCTCACTCTGTCGCCAGGCTGGAATGCAGTGGCGCAATCTCGGCTCACTGCAACCTCCGCCTCCCAGGTTCAAGTGATTCCCCTGCCTCAGCCTCCTGAGTAGCTGGGACTACAAGCAAGCACCACCAGGCCTGGCTAATTTTTCTATTTTTAGTACAAATCAGGTTTCACTATGTTGGCCAGGCTGGTCTTCAAATCCTGACCTCAAGTGATACCTTCTGCCTCAGCCTCCCAAAGTGCTGGGATTACAGGTGTGAGCCACCTCACCCAACCAAAACGAGTAAAAATTTTAATTAGAATTTTGTATTTAATAGATCATTTTTCATAAAACAGCTAATGCTTAAGTTTGTCCACAAAGCAGAAAAATTGTGGGTCAATACAATAAGGATTCATAAATTATAACCATTACTGTTAAAAATAGTAGTAAGCGGCCAGGCGTGGTGGCTCACACCTGTAATCCAAGCACTTTGGAGGCAAAGGCGGGCAGATCACCTGAGGTCGGGAGTTGAAGACCAGCATGACCAACATGGTGAAACCCCGTCTTTATAAAAAATTAATTAATTAATTAAATTAATTAAATAGTAGTAAGCACTGTTTAATTTCATGAAATAAAATAAACTACCAGATATTTGAAAATACTCCACCACCACAGTTTTCAATAAAATGTTTTTCAAGAAATCTCTGCACTTACCCCCATTATCTGTTCTTTTTAAAGCTCCATCCTTATGAGGACAAAGTTCACATCTCTATAAAAAAAAAAAAAAAAAAGAAAGAGGTAATGAAGAAATCTTTCAGGTTATCAAAAATGTAACATCTTCCCTGCAACTTCAAAACTACTGAAAATGTGGGGGCAGCATTTGTACTAGTTGCCCCCTGCCAGAAGAATATTTCAGAACTTTCTTCACAAACAGTTGTTCTCCATGACATGTGATCTTCTTCAGCGGGCAAGTAACTTTGTTAAACTACATTTTAACTTTTTTAACTCCTACCACAGGCCAGGCACAGTGGCTCACACTTGTAATCCCAGCACTTTGGGAGGTCGAGGCTGGCGGATTACCTGAGGTCGGGAGTTTGAGACCAGCCTGACCAACATGGAGAAGCCCTGTCTCTACTAAAAATACAAAATTAGCTAGGCATGGTGGCACATGCCTGTAAATCCCAGCTACTCGGGAGGCTGAGGCAGGAGAATCAATTGAACCCGGGAGGTGCAGGTTGTGGTGAGCTGAGATCATGCAATTGCACTCCAGCCTGAGCAACAAGAATGAAACCATCTCAAAAACAAAAAACAAGCAAACAAAAACTCTGGCCACAATTTTTTACAACTTACATTAATAAAAACAAAAAGATGCTGGGATTTTTTTTAAGTGGGGAGCAGGAGAAAAAATGAAAAGGTCCTCTCAATTTAAGAATGGGGCAAGGCTTTTAACATCTGCCTGCGAACTGTTTACTTCTTGTCTTACCATCAGCTAGGATGACTGTAGTCAAGTAGCTCTGGTTTCTCTTAAAAAGCCAAACTCAAAAAAAAAAAAAAAAGCCAAACTCAGGCCGGGCGCAGTGGCTCAAGCCTGTAATCCCAGCACTTTGGGAGGCCAAGGCAGGTGGATCACGAGGTCAAGAGATCGAGACCATCCTGGTAAATATGGTGAAACCCCGTCTCTATTAAAACTACAAAAAATTAGCTGGGCATGGTGGCGCGTGCCTGTAGTCCCAGCTACTCAGGAGGCTGAGGCAGGAGAATTGCCTGAACCCAGGAGGCGGAGGTTGCGGTGAGCCGAGATCGCGCCATTGCACTCCAGCCTGGGTAACAAGAGCGAAACTCCGTCTCAAAAAAAAAAAAAAAAAAGCCAAACTCAAGAATTTACCATTTTAATTTAAGTGGCAAGAACTGATCTCATATATGCTGATCTCCCTTCTGAAAAGAATGAGGCTAATCAGCTATTATTATTACTCAAACATAATGGTACTCAAAATTTACTGTGGATCCCTCTCCCTCCCATCCTCAGGATTTAAAACCAAAAATAAATGTAGAGCCAGTACTACCACTTCTTGTGAAACACCATAAGTTTCAATGGCATTGTCTTACTATGAAGAGTATGTTCCTGAAAGTCACACTTGAGTATTATTTATATCCCACCTTGTTCACAAAAGAGGTTTTGTCACTTATGATATAGTAACATAGGCCAGGCACAATGGATCACACCTGTAATCCCAGCACTGACGCAGGCAGATTGCTTGAGCCCAGGGGGTCAAGACCAGCCTGGGCAACATGGCAAAACCCCACCTCTACAAAAAAAAACAAATACAAAAGTTAACTGGGTGTGGTGGTGCGCACCTGCAGTCCCAGCTACTCAGCAGACTGAGGTGGGCAGATCAATTGAGCCCAGAAGGTCAAGGCTGCAGTAAGCCATGATTGCACCACTGCACTCCAGCCTGGGTGACAGAGTGGACCCTATCTCAAAAAAAAAAATACACACACACACACACATTATTTATATACAAACACATACACACACACATACTATATATATATATATGCACACTGTATATACACATACTACATATATATACACATATATATGTGTGTGTATGTGTGTATATATATTACGACAAAAAATTGGAGTAAAAAATTAAGTTGAGCCGGGCGCGGTGGCTCAAGCCTGTAATCCCAGCACTTTGGGAGGCCGAGGCGGGTGGATCACGAGGTCAAGAGATCGAGACCATCCTGGTCAACATGGTGAAACCCCGTCTCAACTAAAACTACAAAAAATTAGCTGGGCATGGTGGCGCGTGCCTGTAATCCCAGCTACTCAGGAGGCTGAGGCAGGAGAATTGCCTGAACCCAGGAGGCGGAGGTTGCGGTGAGCCGAGATCGCGCCATTGCACTCGAGCCTGGGTAACAAGAGCGAAACACCGAATCAAAAAAAAATTAAGTTGAAGGCTGGGCGCAGTGGCTCACGCCTGTAATCCCAGCACTTTGGGAGGCTGAGGCAGGCGGATCACAAGGTCAGGAGTTCGAGACCAGCCTGGCCAACATGGTGAAACCCTGTCTCTACTAAAAATACAAAAAGTTAGCCAGGCATGGTAGCACACACCTGTAATCCCAGCTACTCAGGGGGCTGAGGCAGGAGAACTGATTGAACCCAGAAGGCAGCGGTTGCAGTGAGCTGGGATCGCACCACTACGTTCCAGCCTGGGCTACAGAGCAAGACTCCATCTCCAAAAAAAAAAAAAAAAAAAATTAAGTTGAAATGGTTTTAAAAGTACAGAAAGCATAAACTGTAAAAGCCTACTGAGGCTGGGTGCAGTGGCTCATGCATATAACCCCAGCACTTTAGGAGGTCAAAACGGGAGGACCACTTGAAATCATGAGTTCAAAATCAGCCTAAGCAACAAAGTGAGACCTCGTTTCTACAAAAATAATTTTTTAAAAAATAGAGCCTATTGATAATGTTTAGAAATTTGTGCCTCCCAATCTCATGTAAAAATATAATCCCAATGTTGAAGGTGGAACCCTAGCAAAAGGTGTTTGGGTAATGAGGGCAGATCCCTCATGAATGTCTTGGTGCTGTTCTTGTGTGTTTCTTGCTATTATTAGTTCATGTGAGATCTGATTGTTAAAAAGAGCCTAGCATCTTGCTCCCTTCTCTCACCACGTGACACTCCTGCTCCTCATTCCCACTCCTGCATGAGTAAAAGCTTCCTGAGCCTAAAGATGTTGGTGGTATGCTTGCAGAGCCTGCAGAACTGTGAAGCAAATAAAACCTCTTTTCTTTCCTTTTTTTGAGACGGTGTCTCACTCTGTTGCCCAAGCTGGATGAAGTGCAGTGGTGTGATCTTGGCTCACTGCAACCTCCGCCTCCTGGGTTTAAGCGATTCTTCTGCCTTAGCCTCCTGAGTAGCTGAGACTACAGGCACATGCCACCATGCCTGGCTAATTTCTGTATTTTTAGTAGAGAGAGGGTTTCACCATATAGGCCAGGCTGGTCTCATTCTCCTGACCTCGTGATCCGCCCACCTCTGCCTCCCAAAGTGCTGGGATTACAGGTGTGAGCTATCACACCCAGCGACCTCTTTTCTTTATATTAACAATCTACCCAGTTTCAGGTATTCCTTTATAGCAACACCAAACAGACTCATAGCACTGTATTTCTTGCCTTTCAGTATTTTACTCTCCTGATTTTCCTCTTACCTCTTTGGCAGCACTTTCTGATCACCCTACCAAACCTTTAAATGGTGAAGTTCCTCAGGGCTCTGGCCTAAGACATCATCTTATTTCATGTGAAACACTACATAATCTTATTCATTGTCCAAATTTCCATTACCAGCTAAATTATAAAACAGTGACTCCCAAATTTTATCTATTTGTATCCGTCCTCAGGTTCAAGTGTAAAACTCTATATGCTACATAAACACTTTATTTTGACACAGTCTCGCCCTGCTGCCCAGGTTGGAATACAGTGGCTTGATCTCAGTTCACTGCAACCTCCACCTCCTGGGTTCAAGCAACTCTCCTGCCTCAATTTCCCAAGGAGTTGGGATTACAGGTGTGTGCTACCAGCTAACTTTTTCTATTTTTAGCAGAAATGGGGTTTCGTCATGTTGCCCAGGTAGCTCTCAAACTCCTGGCCTCAAGTGATGTACCCACCTCGGTCTTCTAAAGTGCTAGGATTACAGGCGCAAGCCACCACAGCCAGCCTACATAGACACTTTAAATGCTTCACAATATATGACAAAACCTGCTCTTCCTGCTCTTTCCATATATTGGTAATGATATTTTCAATGACACATTGTTCATGCAAGACACCTAGTATACATAATCTTTGACTACTTCATACCTTACTCCCTAACCTCACTTTTAATCCACAACTGTATGTTGCCCTTCCTCTTCCTAAATACTGGTGAAATCTCCCTGTCTCTCTCCATCTCTACTATTACCCTACTTAAAGCCAGCATCACCTTTCATCAGGACCACTTCAGTCACCTCCTAAACACAGGAGTCCCCCAGTTATCCATGGGAGAAACAATCTAAGAACCCCAGTAGGTGTCTGAAACCACAAATGGTGCTGAGCACCTGCTATGTACACATACCTATGAAAAAATTTAATTTATAAATTAGGCATAGTAAGAGATTAACAACAACAATAAAACAGAACAAACTGGGTGTAATGGCTCATGCCTATAATCCCAGGACAAATTTGAGAGGCCAAAGCAGGCTGATCACCTGAGGTCAGGAGTTAAAGCTCAGCCTGGCCAACATAGTAAAACCCCATCTCTACTAAAAATACAAAAAAAGTCACTGAACATGCTGGCACACACCTGCAGTCCCAGCTAAGTAGGAGGCAAAAGAATTGCCTGAACCCAGGAGGGTCCAATCACCTCCCTCCTTTAACATATGAATTACAATTAGAGATGAGATTTGGGTGGGGATACACAGTCAAACCCTATCAGTTATGTACAGTAATGTCCTGGGTTTTCACATTCACTCACCACTTATTCACTGACTCACCAGAGCTACTTCTAGTCCTGCAAGCTTCATTCATGGTAAAGCCCTAAGTAAGTGCACTGGTGTTCTTTTTTTCCTTAAATCTTTCATACCATTATTTTGACTGTACCTTTTCTATGTTTAGAAACACAAATACTTACCATTATGTTAAGCTGCCTACAGGATTCAGTAATGAAATGTACAAGTTTGAAGCCTAGGAGCAAAAGACTATATACTATATAGCCTAGATATGTAGTAGGCTAT